GGAGAAAACACTTTTGCAAGAGGGAGATTTGGATCATCACACCTGAAGAGCCCTTTTTGTGAAGAAGCACTCTACTTGTTGGGCGTAGACAGAGGCTACCAGCCCTCCCCTGCAGGATAGGAGGCATATCCACTTATGAGTGTGTTAGAACCCTATGTTTAAAATTCTCTCTTAAATTATTTTCTAGTCTTTTTGTACAATATATCATTGTAATCTGTCTTCAACTATTTTATCCAAAATAAACCTTCAGAAGAAAAAAAATAACAATCATCCATAATAAGATGAAGCATCTTATTTTATGACTGAAGTTCCAAGTAAATGGCTCAACTCCTCCCTGGCATCCGCTTCATTGTCTCCTCCAGGGATCTGGGCTACAGAATCTTCATTTTCATTTGGACTGTTTTTACCCCCACTGTATGAAAGTTTTCACTCATCTTGAAAGTGAGTCAGCATAGTTAAGGGTGCTGCTAGGGAGGAGGCAGATTCAGTGGCTCAACCAAGAGCATCATGCAGTCCCCTTCACCGTGGCTGGCCCCCATTGGAGAAGAACTATCAGCAGTTGCCTGGCACCTTGGATTAATACCCCTTGTGTGCTGATGTTGTTGGGATGTACCTGAGCAGCATAATCGGGGAACTGCTTATTGATTAGGTATTATCTGATGTTTGAGATGCTGGCCAGGCCCTTAACCACCCTGTTTGTATTGGGGTATTTCTACCATATCCATAGTTGCGGATTTTATGTGGTAACTCAAATCATTCATCCACTGGTGCAGACCACCAGGCTCCTCACCTGCCTCCACAGCAGGTCTGGAAAAGGAAGGTGAGCTCATGGAATGCCCACACCTAGGCGGGCAATATTCTGGACTCCTTGATTGCTGGCTACTGGGTGTTCCTGTGCTGGGACCTGTCTTTCATTGTGCCTGGGGCCATCATGGCAGCCATAGGAATAGTGTGCTTTCTACTTCTCATCCAACATCTGAAAGACATCAGATGCTCTTCCTYCCTGTCCACACTTTCAAAAGGCTATGAGAATCTAACAAACAGAGGTAGACTCTAGAAGCCAACCTTACACAGTGAAAGGAACAGGCTCCCGGACCCAGAGATGCAGTGCTTACTACTGTCCTAGGGGAAGAGTCYCATATGCCCAAGTTATGTGGTTGTTTTCCCTGGTGACAGCAGCAACTTCCTGGCCCTCATCAGCTTCACTTGGGCCTTTGAGAATCCCTGGTGTGGRAGTTCTCTCTGGGCTGTTTGCCGAGCAGGTCAGCTTCACTTTCCTCTTTTGGCTTCCATCGTACATCACCAGCGCAGATCACCTTAATGTCAATAAAGCAGGAGAGCTCTCCATTTTGTTCAGTGTGGCCAGGATCTCCACTCCATCATCAGCAAGATGGGCCTAGAAGACACTGTAGCCATGGTGTTTAGCAGGGGCCTGGGCAGGGMGCTGAAGGTACTAATCACCACCATCCTCTCTGCCGACCTGGGGACTCATAAGCGTCTGAAAGGGAACTCTCATGCAGTCTCTGGGTCTGTAGGAGCTGCCCAGAGCCCTCTGCTGGTAGGAGTCATCTCTCTCTCTGAGAGGAGCCACCTGTTGTATGCACTGATGTTTGCATATGCCTGTGCCTTGCTGTTCCTGATCTGCTTCATATATAAGAAGCTGAGCTGTCCAGGGCTGGTGGTGGGGGACCAAGCTCTTCTGTTCTGTGGAGACAGCAGCTGAGCCCATCCTTTACAAACTGTCTATTTAAACAGATATGGAACTCAAGATAGCAGTGGCAGGACCAGGGGACTGCTGAGTGCCTTAACTGAGCCAATGGACAGATGGTCTAGCCTGCCCAAGCTTGCAGATGTGAGTCCATCCAGGTACTCAAATATGGTGTGTGACAGCCACTTAGGATGATCCTGCTTCTCTAGATTTTTGCTTCTGAATAAATCTTGGCTTGATGGTAGATACTATCTTGACTATTCAAGGATTTTAAAAGTGTTTAAAACATAGCATTTAAAGTCATTTCAATAGGAAGATTGGTCCTAATGCTCACTCATGATCTAAAGTTTTGTTTTTGTATTTAAAAAAAAATCACAGTTTTCTACCAGACTCATTTCATTCATCTCTTGGTAAGATATTTGATTTCTTACCTGTAGCTTGAAAGTTTGTGGTACAGTCTCAGTGTGGCTTTTATATTCACTCTCCCTCCAATTTCTGTAAGAACTTCAATGGTTTCCTGATTAAGAATTTTTTTCATTATTAAAAATTAATAACTTTACTAACAAGGGCCTTAGCATTGATTGTTTTGAATCCCATTTTCCTGAGTTATATTGTTCTCATAAAAATGTCTTCCTTTAATGAAAAATTTATTCTACCATGTCTTTGAATTTTTTTGTTTGTTTCTTCTTCAAGGACAACAAACATRCACCGATTGGATATCCTTTGTCCTACATCTGTAATTGTTCTCCAATCTTCTTTGCTCTTTTCATATCATCTTACTTAGTTTTCTATAGTCTATGCAACACATTCCTCTTTTTATCTGTCTACTATTTGAGTTGCATCTTATGTGGTTTTCCTTTTCTTGAAGTATTTGTATTGTTCATTTCTTTTCATAGCTCTTTCAGATCATTTAAAAAGCCTTTCTCCAGTTTTATTATCAACTTTAAAATGAGTCTTTTTGAGCTCTCATTTAATAATGCCAACAATACCTATATTTAATTTCTTTTAAAGGAAATGTCTTATTTCCATTATTTTTTTAGCTGCTTTGTAATTTGTTTTGAAGTGTGAAAGCAATTTCCTTTGTCCTTTGTCTCTCATATTTTGGGCAAAGAGCTGTATTACTTTTTCATAGATCCTGTGCTTAAAGATTACAGAACTGAAGGCATGAGTGTATCTGCCTTGGCATTTCTGCATTATGTCCCTGTTTCTTCTTGCTGCAGGATCTACTCATTTTTCCTTGGGTAATCAGAAGGTGGAGAAAAGGATGGGCTGCCAACAATCTCTGCAAAGCTCAGAAGTGTTAAAAGTCCGCACCATTTACATCAATGACCCCCTTAAGAATATTTTCTGCACAAATAGCATCAGGTGAGAAGAGTCTATGTGCCTTGGAGGGGAGAAGGGTGGAAGAAAATGTGAGTTTCCTTCCAAAATGCAATACTTTGTATAAATCAAATTATGTGATTCTTTTTATCTGGTTACAGTGTTTTTTTCCAAACCTTGAAAAAACTAAATTCTCAGGTTCACTTTGAAACAAGGATTTGCTCTGGGCTCCCCTTATAGGCCCCTCACCTTCCCTGTTCTGAACGGCCTGTGCTAGCACTGGTTCCCAATCACAGCTCTTACCATGCAGATCACTGCCAGCTGATAGTGCTCTTTAGCAATAGTTTTAAATGTGAGGCAAAGTGCTATCAAAAGAACCCTCCTAGATCTGCTGGACTCCCCACCAATACCTTGTACTTTTAATTGAGAATCACCAGGCCTCTATTTCAGGAGGAATTTGATGAGTTTCATATTTACTTCAGAGGCAGAATTAGATGAAAACTTGAAAGGAAACTACTTTTTTTTGTTGTTGTTTCTTTTTAAGGATTGAATCCAGGGCCTCATACATGCTAGGCAAATGCTCTATCACTGAGCTCCTTCTTGAGCCAATGGAAACCACTTTTCGAGTGATTTTCCCCTCTCTTTTTTTAACCAGGAACTAGGGTCAGGTGTTGGATATACTAACTTAATAATCTTTAAGGTTTTTGGTGATGAACTAATCATATAGCTTAAAAATCTGTGGTTGACATGGCAAGAAAAGGGATATATCCATGGGGGCCCCAAATGAGGGCACATCAGGGATACTAAGAGGTAGGGGACATTGAGGTGCATTTTGCTCAGGGGACTCTATCTAGTTCTATTGACCTGGTGTTTCAGTTGTAACACTCAGTTGTGGAAGAGGAGTGATCTGAGTCCATGCATGGTGGACTAAAGAATTAAAGACCCTGTCTTTGTAAAATCAGGACACCAGAGGGCTACACCCTAAATGAAGAGAGAATAAAAATTAAAATCTGTCTTGCAAAAAGAGACATAGTGAGAAAACATGCTCCTTTAAAATTGGCCCAGTTTAGGAAAACTCTAACTTACAATATATTTTAAAATGGTGTCATGTTGCTAGTATCCCAAGGAATAAGGCAGAAACACAGATGAACCATATCTGGAGGAGTATTCATTGGTATGGGCCTGAAAAATTTCCCAGAGATCAAGTTTGATCAAATAAGAGCTAAAAAGCTACCAACACATGAAAAAGCAAGGTCTCACTAGTGAGAGGAAACATAAAGAATGAAACAAATAGACACTATAAAGACTTCAAGTAGTAGAAGTATCGTGTACAGACTATAAAATTAGAATGTTTTCTACTAAACACAATAGCATAATATGATTAAAGGAATAAAGAGAATGTTGAAAATATAAAGACTACTTTAAAAAAGACCTGAGTAGATCTAGAAAAGAAACAAATAGAACCTAGAAATAAAAATATGATAATCTATTTTGAAAAAATCTCAGTGAATGAGGTAAAAAGAGGAAGTGGGGAGATACAACCAAAAGTAGACTTAATATATACTATTAAATATATAGGAGAAAATGCTCCTGATATAGATATGATACTCTTGCAATAGAGAAAGATGAAGAATTGGAAAATATTAAGGACTAGTTCAGACACATACATGGCAGAGTTAGCAGCACTAGTCTGTGTTAGAGTTCCAAAATGAGACTTTAAGGGAATGATATAGACATTATTTTTCATTATTCAAAGAAATCATGGCCCAAGTTTCCCAGAACAAATGAGAGATATGAATCCTAAAATTCAGGAACAAAAATCTCAAGAAGATAAATGAAAAGAAATTCATTTCTAATTACATGGCATACAGAACATGTGAAGGCTCCAGTGACAACCTGTGTATAAATATAAATAAAGCTTAAGTTTCTTCTTTCAGATTAAAACATTCAAATGAAATGTTTAGTATCTTTTTCCTGTGAATTATTTGCAGCAGCACATTTTTTTTTTATGACAACTACTGTAGCTATCTTCATATTATTTTTCCCAGAGGAGATAATCAACCCATTTGATAGTAGATGAAACCAAAGCAGGAAAAAAGTATATCATTTGTTTTTGGGCACCTAGCCATTTATGTAGTGGCAAGGTCAGATTAAAATGCAAGAGGGATCTCACATGATTAGAACAGAAGAAACACAAAGAAGTGGGTATGTTGAGAGGTGAAGGGATGGATGTGGCCTGGGTATCAAAGATGGTGATGCAAATTCAGACGTCTAAATAGTTATTCTTATGACTTACCTTTCTTAAATTTATTTAGGGATTTTGCCAATATGTTCATTTTTAGATATTAAAAACTTCTGGTTACATATATGAAAAAATAGTTTAATAAAAGTTATCCAAAAATTTATTCTGAATTTATTTTACAGATGAAATTGCATGATGTATGGGATTTGTTTCAAAGTAATGCAAGGGAGAAGTGAGGAAGTGGGGGCATGAACAAAACAAAATTGGCCACAAGTTGATACTTGCTAAAGCTGGGATATAAATATGGGGATTCATTGCCTGGTCTCTCCATCTTTGTGCATATTTAAAAGTCTCCACAATAAAAAGTAATTTAAAAATTAACTGATTGGTAAAGTTTCTTTTTAGCTTAAATCAATGTAATATGGGATGTAAATATTATAATCAGGGATGAAACAAACTTTCATGATTTAAAAAGGTTTTTTTTTTTTGGTAGATGGACAGCATGCCTTTATTTTATTTGTTTCATTTTTATGTGGTGCAAAAGATCAAACCCAGTGCCTCACACATGCTAGGCAAGTGCTCTGCCACTGAGCTACAGCCCCAGCCCTATGATTTTTTATACCTTTATTTTGCTTATTTATTTTTATGTGGTGCAAAGGATCAAACCCAGGGCTTCACACATGCTAGGCAAKCGCTCTATCACTGAGCTACAACCCCAGTCCCTCATGATTTTTTTCAAATTAATATTTTTTAAAATTTTAATTTGTTACATATGACAGCAGAATGCATTATAATTCATATTACACATATAGGGCACAATTTTTCATATCTCTGGTTGTATACAAAGTAGAGTCACATGATTCTTGTCTTCATACAATATACTTAGGGTATTGATGTCCATCTCATTTCACTGACCTTCCTGCCCCTTCCCTTCCCCTTCCTCTCCTTTGTCCTATCTAGAGTTCATCTAATCCACCCATGTCCTACCCCCATACCAACCACATTATGAATCAGCATTCTTAAATCAGAGAAAACATTCAGCATTTGTTTTTGGGGGATTGGCTAACTTCACTTAGCATTATCTTCTCCATTGCATTTACCTGCAAATGCCATGATTTTATTCTCTTTTATTGCTGAGTAATATTCCATTGTGAATATATCCACATTGTTTAATCCATTCATCTACTGAAGGGCATCTAGGTTGGTTCCATAGTTTAGCTATTGTGAATTGTGCTGCTTTAAGCATTGATGTGGCTGTGTCCTTTGGTATGCTGTTTTTAAGTCCTTTGTGTATAGACCGAGGAGAGGGATAGCTGGGTCAAATGATGGTTCCATTCCCAATTTTCCAAGGAATCTCCATACTGCTTTCCATATTGGCTGCACCAATTTGCAGTCCCACCAACAATGTATGAATGTGTGCCTTTTCCCCACATCCTCGCCAACACTTATTGTTGTTTGTCTTCATAATAGCTGCTATTCTGACTGTAGTGAGATGATATCTTAGAGTAGTTTTGATTTGCATTTCTCTAATTGCTAGAAATGTTGAATATGTATTTTCATGTATTTGTTGATTGATTGTATA